TACTTCCTTTTATCCGTTCTAACCCGACCGCTCTGCAGTTTCATGGAGTGCCCACGAGTTCTTGTATTGTGAGAAAGGGAGAAAAGTACCTCTTTCTTTACCTGCTCTTTCCCATGCATAATCTTATAAACCTCGATCATGTCACCCCTCAGTCGTCTTTTCTCCAAGCTAAAGAGCCCTAAGCGCTTTAACCTTTCCTCATAGGGAAAGTGTTCCAACCCTTTTATCATTCGAGTTGCCCTTTTCTGCACTTTTTCCAAAGCTATAATATCCTTTTTAAGGTGTGGTGCCCAGAACTGCACACAGTATTCCAAATGAGGTCTCACCATTGATTTATATAGGGGCATTATTATATTGGCTGATCTGTTTTCAATACCCTTCCTAATAATCCCCAGCATAGCATTGGCCTTCTTTATTGCAGTCACACACTGTCTCGACATTTTCAGTGAGTTATCCACTACAACTCCAAGATCTCTCTCTTGCTCAGTCTCTGCCAGTTCAGACCCCATCAATGTGTATTTATATTTAGGATTTTTGGCTCCAATGTGCATCACCTTGCACTTGGCCACATTGAACCCCATTTGCCATGTTGACGCCCACTCGCCCATCCTTGACAGATCCCCTTGGAGTGCCTCACAATCCTCACTGGTTTTCACCACCCTGAACAACTTTGTATCATCCGCAAATTTAGCCACTTCACTGCTTACTCCCATCTCCAAATCATTAATGAACAAGTTAAAAAGCAGTGGACCAAGTACTGATCCCTGCGGTACCCCACTGCTTACCACCCTCCACTGAGAAAATTGCCCACCTACACTCACTCTCTGTTTTCTATGAACTAGCCAGTTTTTGATCCATAAAAGGACTTGTCCTTCTATCCCATGATTTTTGAGCTTACTTAGGAGCCTTTGATGAGGAACTTTATCAAAAGCTTTCTGGAAGTCAAGGTAAATAATATCTATTGGATCCCCCTTGTCCACATGTTTGTTCACCCCCTCAAAGAACACTAACAGGTTAGTGAGACAAGATCTTCCCTTACAGAAACCGTGCTGAGTCTGCCTCAATAGGTTTTGTTCATCTATGTGCCTACTAATTCTTTCCTTAATAATGGTTTCCACCAATTTACCCGGTATCGACGTCAGACTGACTGGCCTGTAATTTCCCGGATCTCCTCTGGAACCCTTTTTAAAGATGGGAGTGACATTAGCTACCTTCCAATCCTCAGGAATGGAGGCAGATTTTAAGGAAAGATTACATATCTTTGTCAGGAGATCTACAAGTTCACATTTGAGTTCTTTCAGAACTCTCGGATGTATGCCATCTGGGCCTGGTGATTTTTCAGTTTTTAAGTTGTCTATCAGTTTTAGGACCTCCTCTCTCGTCACCTCAATCTGACTCAGGTCTTTCAACACCCCTCCTGAAATCAGTGGTTCTGGAGTGGGCAAGCACTTCTCATCTTCCACAGTGAAGACGGAGGCAAAAAATGCATTTAGCTTCTCAGCCATTTCCCTATCATCCTTCAATACTCCTTTTACCCCTTGGTCGTCCAAGGGCCCCACTGCCTCCCTGGCTGGTTTCCTGTTTCTAATGTATTTGAAGAAAGTTTTATTGTTGGTTTTTACGTTTTTTGCTATATGCTCCTCATATTCCCTTTTTGCCTGCCTGACCTCAGACTTGCATTTTATTTGCCATAGCCTGTGTTCCGTTTTATCAGCCTCACTGTGACTAGCTTTCCACTGCTTAAAGGAATTCTTTTTACTTTTTACAGCCTCCATTACTCTGTTTGTTAACCATGCAGGCTTTTTCCTATACCTGTTTGTGCCTTTCCTAACCTGCGGAATATATATTTTTTGAGCTTCTAGGATCGTAGTTTTAAATAGATCCCAAGCTTCCCCAATTGTTTTGACCCTTTCTACTTTTCCTTTCAGTTTCCTCCCCACGTGTCCCCTCATATCAGAGAAATTACCCCTTTTAAAGTTAAAAATGGTTGTGTGAGTCTTTTTGGCCAATTCTCTATTTGTACAAATGATGAACTCAACAACATTATGATCACTGTTTCCAAGCGGTGCAATCACTTTTACATCTCTCACCAGGTCTTGAGTGTTACTTAGGACCAAATCAAGGATCGCCTCTCCCCTGGTAGGTTCCGTGACCATCTGCTCCATAGCACAGTCATTTAGAGTGTCTAGAAACTCAATCTCTTTTTCCCGGCTAGAACACATATTGACCCAATCAATGTGTGGGTAGTTAAAATCACCTATTATTACACAGTGTTTTTGTCTAGTTGCTATCTTTAAGGCATTCATCATTTTATAATCCTCCTCTATCTTTTGATCTGGTGGGCGATAACAAACTCCCAGTGTTAAGTTTCCTTTTGGCCCCCCTATTTCAACCCATAGAACTTCCAGAAGCGAATCCAATTCACTTAGCCTCTCAATCTTTCTAGACTTTATACCCTCTCTGACATACAGAGCTACCCCACCTCCAACCCTTCCCCCCCTATCCTTCCGATATAATATATAACCGGGAATCACTGTGTCCCACTGATTTTCCTCATCCCACCAAGTTTCAGAAATACCCACAATGTCTATTTTTCCCTCCGACACCAAGCACTCCAACTCCCCGATTTTACCTCGGACACTTCTAGCATTTGTATAGAAACAGCTGTAATTTCCCTTACAAGTTAAGCCTGCATCCTTCCTCTTGCTATCTCGAGTCGTTGTCCGGCAGTCCATGTCACCAGCCATGGCCTCTGTGGACAATTTCAATCCACCTCCCTGTAGAAAAGCAACAGGTACCCCCTCATCTCTCTGAGATGAGCCAACCCGAACCAGAGACTTTTCATCTCCTGTCGGCTTTCCCCCAATATTCAGTTTAAAAGCTGCTCTGCCACCTTTTTGATTTTAAGCGCCAGCAGCCTGGTTCCTTCTCGGGACAAGTGGAGACCGTCTCGCCTGTACAGCTCCCTCTTGTTCCAAAAAGTATCCCAGTGCCTAACAAACCTGAACCCTTCCCCCCTACACCATCGTCTCATCCACGCATTGAGACTCCTGATCTCTGCCTGTCTCTCCGGCCCTGCGCGTGGAACAGGTAGCACTTCTGAGAAGGCTACCTTGGAGGTCCTGGACCTAAGTTTCCTGCCCAGCATCCTAAATTTCTCCTCCAGGACCTCACGACTGCATTTCCCCACATCGTTGGTGCCGACATGCACCACGACCACTGGCTCCTCCCCAGCACTATCTACCAGCCTATCTAAAACACGCGTAATGTCCGCTACCTTTGCACCAGGCAGGCAAGTCACCATACGGTCAGTACGCGGGTTCGCCACCCAGCTGTCTACCTGCCTAAGGATCGAATCACCCACTAGCAAGAGCCCCCCTCCCACCCTGCCCAGGGATGGTTCCTTGGTGCAAAAGGATACCCGCTCACCAGCTGGGGAAGAGGTCCCTTCTGAGGCCACATTCCCCTTATCCTCAGCACGGTGCCCTGTTTCTCCTTGACCCTCATGCTCCCTGACAACGGCGGGGCTGCCAGATCCAGAGTGGGACATATCTAACAAGTCCCCGAGAGTCTTTTCTGTGCGCCTAACTGACTGTCTATACTACTTCAGGTCAGCCACCTTGGCCTCAAGGGAGCAAACACGTTCCCTGAGAACCGGGTCTCCTTGCACCGAGCACACACCCAAGACTTCTGTCCAGTGGGCAGATAGTCATACATGTGACACTCCGTGCAAAACACTAGATAGCCCCCAACCCCCTGCTGGCCTTCTGGCTTCATAATTCTTTTAAAATGTAACTATAATCCCCCCTTTTAAAACCCTTTGTATTTATGTGGTTTTTCTTGTTGAAGTTGAATTACTTTACGGGGAAGACAAAGAGCCTAGGGCCTTGGCTTTCTGGCTCTTCTTGGGCTTCTTACAGAGCCCCTAGTCTAAGAGTGTATAGGCTCATGCCAGAGGCTCGTGCCTCTGGCAAGGTGCTTTCTTAAATACTGAATTACAGTCAATCACAGTCAAACAATGCCCTTCCTCTCCCTCTCTCAAGCAGCCAGGACTCTGCAACAACTCTAAGCGCTTTCACACACTCCCAAACACAGTCCTCCCACACAATATCCTCAGCTGAAAGCAAGTAAAAAAACACTCACCCCTCTAGCAGCTGTGTCTCCTGCCCCTGCTCAGAGCTCAGCTGGGTCTCCCAGGAGCACCTCCCAGGAGCACCTACCAGTTTAGCGTTTGGTGGCTTCTGAGTAAATAAATAGGATGCCTTTGCTGTGTCTGTGCAAGCCTTCACATCAAGAAGTCCCCAGAACAGAGGCTGTTTCACACACAGCCCCCAGCAGAGGCACTTTGCAGAAGTATTGCCTTGTGGAATCTACTTTCCTTCTCATGAGGAGTGTTGTACTGTAATGGTTAAGAGAACGGGATGTAAGAGTTTGGTTCAAATCTCACCCAAATTGTGAAGTTACTTGTCTTTGGCAAGCATCTATCCCAGTTTGGTGCAGTGGTTAGGAGCGTAGGAGAACCAGGTTTGATTCCCCACTCCTTCACATGCAGCTGCTGGTGTGACCTTGGGTCAGTCATAAATTCTTTCAGATCTGTTCTCTCAAGGGCAGTTCTTGAGAGAGCTCTTTCAGCCCCACTTACCTCACAGGGTGTCTGCTGTGGGGAGGGGAAAGGAAAGGGATTGTAAGCCATTCTGAGACTCCTTTGGGTAGTGAAGGGTGGGATATAAATCCAATCTCTTCTTCTTCTTGACGGTTACCCCTCCTCCCCATCTGTATTGAACAAAAGAACAATGCTGACCTACACTGCAGAGTTGTTGAAGGGCTTACTGGTGTGTATAAAGTGCTTTCTCTACTTGCTACAAGTGCAAAGCATTGCACTTGTATAGTTGTTTACTTCTGTTTACTTCTACACATGGGAAATGAGATCGAATTGTTTCTGCTTTCCATTGTAATTACACATTTTTTAATCATGCAGTCGTTCTCCTTGTTAATCCTAGTTGGATGACTTGCCTGAGAATTCCCCAATCAACATCGTACAGACTCCAATTCCAATCACTACCTCCGTTCCAAAGCGGGCAAAAAGTCAAAAGAAGAAAGCTCTGGCTGCAGCATTGGCCACAGCTCAGGAGTATTCAGAAATCAGCATGGAGCAGAGGAAACTGCAGGTCTGTTAGTTTCGGTGTCGTAACTCTTAAGTGGTTGGGTGTTTAAGTCATGCATGGCCAGCTGGCATCCCATACAGGTCCCTGAAGCAGCTACAGTTCTGCGCCCCCCCCCCGCGCCCCCCGGACTCACTACATTTTAATCTCAAGGTGAAGGTTTCTTGAAAACAAAATTCAACAGTTTCACAAATATGTGTGAGTTAAAAAACAAAAGAAAATATAAATGGTCCCCACTTTAATGTTACAGGGCTGGATCCAAACTAAATTTTCCAGCAATGGAATGGAATTTTTCTGCACCCCCCTTCCCACTTCAGCCCACTGATCTCCATGGACTGCTGCTCCTGCAGATCACATGGAAAGGGGAATTGGTAGAAAATGCCAGTTTAGCCTGGATCTAGCCCACAGGCTCTTGGGATTTTGAATTGAGTGCCCTGTCTGTACCTGAGCCATTAAGACCTTCCGCAGGTCCTGCAAGACGGAGCTGTTCCATCAGGCCTTCAATCAGGAGCCGCCCTTACCACTACCACCAACATCTGTGGTTATGGGCCGGCCCCAGCGTTGAGATCAAGAAATACTTGAATAAATACCATCGTGTGACGCCAGAAGATCGTCTGCTGTTACATCATATTCACACCATCTCAATTAATGATGGAATGATTATTATTACTAGTACTTTATGATTACCTGATTATTTTAAAATGTTTTAAATGTTTTTATGTGGATTTTATGGCACCTTGTACCGACTATGTAAGCCACCCTGAGCCTGTTCGCGGGGAGGGTGGGATACAAATGGAATAAATAAATAAATTTGTTGCTAGAAGACACAGATCTCACAGCAAGTATATTGTTGCGCCAGTGCAGTGGTTAGAATGCTGGACTACAATATGGGAGATATAGGTCCAATTCCCCACTGTGCTGTGGAAGCTCTCTGGGTGGCTCTTGGGCCAGTTGTGCATACTCGGCCTGACCTACCTCACCTGGTTGCTGGAAGAATAAAATGGAGAAGGGGGAACCACATATACCATCCTGAGCTCCTCGGAGGGAAGGGTGGGGAACAATGCTCCCTCTAAGCTGTGGAGACTTGTGAGCAAACCTTCTGTTTTGTGAGCTACTGGCATTAAAGTTGTGAGCGAGCAATTGGGCCACTGCATAAATTAGTTTGCTCTGGAGCCATCCTTCCTGAGCGGAGACAAAAATCTGTGAGTCGGAGGCTAAAAAACTGAGCTAGCTCACACTAACTCAGCTTAGAGGGAACACTGGTGGGGAAGCTGTACCAGACAGGCCATATCAATGCAGCCAGATCATTCCCAAGGCAGTTGGTTTGGGTGGCGAAATATACTTCCACCTCTTGGGCTGCTATCAGGGAAATTGAGTGCTGTTAGATTACAGAAGTTGCCTATTTGCTTTGTTTCAGATTTCTGTTATCCTAGTCCTATTGCATTGCTTATTAGCTGTCTTATCTGGTTGGTTGTATTGACTTGCATTGTGAAATCCACCTTGAGTCTCAAATGAGAAAGGTGGATTATAAATAAGGAAAATAAAGCAGAGTATCTCTCCATCTGCTAGAGACCAGCAGTGTTATTTTTATTGTAGGAAGCAGTTTCTAAAGCGGCTGGGAAAAAGAGTAAAACGCCTGTACAGTTAGACTTGGGTGACATGCTGGCGGCCCTTGAGAAACAGCAGCAAGCCATGAAGGCTCGCCAGATCACCAATACCAGGCCCCTCTCATACACAGGTGGGTAATTTTTCTTAATTTGGCTGTTTTCCACTTAAAGAGGACATTAAAAGTAAGCTTAAATCACTCTTTATGGCATATTAGTATATCAGTGAACGTAGCTTTTACACAACATAGCATTGTGGTCTGGCACAACCACTACATGCTATCTTCTTCTTTTCTTTGAAAATGCGTAAACAAAGATTAAAAGTCCAAAAAGGATGGAAAAGAAAAGAAAAAGAGAAAGGAGGAAAAAGGGAAAAAATCAAAGAAACATACCATTAAAATTTCTAAGATCGCTCAGCAATGAATACGAATACAATTACTTAATACTAAAGCTAAAGTTAATGATTAAAATTATAACAAAATTACCTTAACAAATCTTTTTTTCTTTTCTATTATTTGAAATTCTTTTTAATCATCAGATCCACAGATTATCAATTCATTAGTTTCCCTTACATGTAAAAGGTCAATAAGGGGTTTCCAGATATTGCCTTTTCTCTAACTAATGATAATTTATCCATCTCTGCAAATTCCAGCATCTTTAACAACCATTCATCTATTGTGGGTGTTTTCGGAGATTTCCAGTTCTGAGCATAAACTGCTGTTATATAAAGATACCAAGTTCCATGACTGTTTTCAAGCTGTCTGTCCATCAATCCCAAAAGAAAGGTTTCTGGTTTCCTTTGTATGCTCATCTTTAAAATATTCTGCATTAGTAAGTGTATTTGCATCCAAAACTTTTTGGCTTGATGGCAAGTCCATCACATATGATAAAATATCTGTTCATGTTGCTCACATTTCCAACACTTATTCAAAGTATTTTTATACATTTTAGCCAGTTTATCTGGGGATATATACCAGTGATACATCATTTTATAGAAATTTTCTTTAAGATTAAAACTTGAAGTAAATTTCAAACCCTTCAACCACGTTCTTTCCCATTGTTCCATTTGTATATTATACCGATTTAGCCCATTTTGTCATACATTCTTTCACCTATTCTTCTGTTTCATATTTCAAAAAGAGTTTATACATTTTAGCAATAACATGATCATCATTTGTACATAATTCCGTTTCAAATATGGCCTTCGTTTCTTCAAAACCATACAGTTTTTTGTCTACTTTAAATCTTTCCAACAGTTGTACATTAAAAAAAATATTGACAATTATATCCTTCTCTTAACAGGTCTTCTCTTGATTTAATTTTACACTTTCCTTGAGAAAAGTCCAGTAAATCACAATAGGTTAACCATTTGTGTTTAGTTAACATTTCACGTCTGTAAAAAGCTGCTTGTGTTAAAAGCCATAAAGGTATTTTTGGACACGCCATAGGTTTATATTTATTCCATATCCTCAAAATCGCACGTCTATTATAGTGGTTTCTAAAATCCACATTAACCTTTATTTTTTCATACCACAAATGGCTGTGCCTCCCAAATCTCAGGTCATATCTGTCCAAATCTTAATAATCTTCTGTTTCTCAGCAACATCCATTCTTTCATCCAAAATAAACAGGCAGCAAAAATACACCTTCAAATCAGGTAAACCCAAACCTCCTCTTTTACATCTTGCAAAATCTTATATGTAAATACATGTTTTTTTTCCCTTGTCACACAAACTTAGATATGTCTTTCTGTCACTATTTAAATGGTATGTCAGATGTCAGCACCAGTATTGTCTGAAAAAAGAATAGCATTCTGGGTAAGACGTTCATTTTTATCAGATATTCTTCCCAGCAATGACAATTGCAATTTGTCTCATCTGAACAAGTCTTTTTTAACTTCATTCCATGTCTTCACATAATTATTTGAAAACAACATACAATTCATATTTGTCAACATAATACCCAGTTCTTTCACTTTCTTTTCATCAATTCTGTTTCCTCTTGAATGTTCATATTTTAATTAACATCTTTGTTTTCTGTTCATTTTAAACCCCACTAGTGAACCAAATTCTTTCAATTTAGACATTAATATTTCTATTCCCTTTAAAGGATCTTCTAAAGTTAATACCAAATCATCTGCAGTCCTAAGCAGTCCAAATCACCTGCAATCCTAAACAGAGTTGTGCCCTTCTAAATCTTTTGACTTCAATGGAGTGAAACTCTGCTGAGGATTACACTACAGAACTTGCATATCCCCCCCCTCCCCAAGTGCTACTGCATAGAGTCTGAAGCATTTTGCAGCATAGATACCTGTGCAAGAAAGAGGTGCAGGACAATTGTGGCAAGTACCCACAGACAGAGTGTGTCTATTTTTTGTGTAAAATGAGGTTCACATTTCAGTGGACCCATTCAGAAATGTTTGGGGTGGCAGAAATTATTCCGCCCACAGAATGTAGCTTTCAGAAGACTGGTCCCACTTCAGTAACAGAATAATTTGCTGGTGGCCAACTAATTCTTCTTTTTAAATGATGTGTTTAAAATTTCTGAAAGCTTCATAATAAGCTTGTTAAACAGGGAAGATGTGCCCTGGGGTGGGGAAGGACCTTGTATGATGCAACTAATAAAATGCAAATAACATATTCATGTTGAGATGTAGATCTTACAGGGATCCAAAGTATCTTTTAGATACCCCCAAACACTGAAGCCTACCCACTAGGGTTTTTTTTAAGAAAAGCAGAACTCCCATACCATACTCTGAGCAACTTCAAAAACTGAGGAGACTTTTAAAAGGAGCTGATTACATGACTTGGGAACAGTCCAAGAAAGAAAAGCACAGCTCTCTAGGCATGCAGAACTAGAGTGCTTCCTTTGGCTGGGATATAAAGTCACTTCTTTAGCAGCACATACTACATAGTTGCCTGCTGTAGTCTTTTTGATGCTGGCATACACAGAATGTTTCCATTCCAAAATGAACAAGTGTTGTGTTCTCTTGCAGTAGTGAGCCAAGCACAATCTGGAAGCAACCTCACTCCATGATGTAACTTCCTGTCATTGTTTTGTCTTTTACTTCCAAGGAAGGAAAGTGCTTTTGTAATGAGAACTGATTAGTAAGAAAACCTGAGCATGTGTCTATTTTCCTTCAGTCATATATTTTATTTTGCTTGCTTCTTTTTGTCTACTTTTAGTTGGCAGCCCGGCTCCTTTTCATGCCAAAGAACCTGCTAATCGAAAATCTTTAGGTAAAGGTCAGCCTTCAGTAAGTTGTCTCAATCCATTGGATTCCACTGCCCCCAAAATAAAACGAGGGAAGGAGAGAGAGCTTTCAAAGTTGAAGCGTCCCACAGCACTTAAAAAGGTAAGCACCACTCCTTTTAGAAAAACTTGAGTTCATTCACAAGTTCAGAACAGTTGGACACCCCAGGGTTGAGTAGGGGCATAGGATTCTTATCTCACTACAAATGTTAATATTCTGCCCCAAGTTCTGCATTTCTCCTCTGCTCTACTCAAGCTGATTATAATAAGCTTTTTTTGCATCTTTTACAAGCATTCTTTACAACTATAAAGGCTCAGATCTGAATTCCTACTTGTATCTGATGAAGGGAGTTTATACCCCCAAAATCTTGTTGCTCTCTAAAGTGCTGCTGGACTTGAATCAAACTGTTCTACTGTGGACCAACATGGCTACCCTTTGAAACTGTTTAGATCACCTCAAAGAACAAACCTTTATTGGCATAACAGCAGGGGCCTTGGTTCAGAGATACAGGAAAGGGAAAGAAAAACCAAACAGTTAATTAACTAATTCTGACAGAAAAGATTTCTCCTCCTATATGCACAATACAGGAAGTTTGCCACCGCTTCAATGAAATCAACCCTGTTTGAGGCTAGAAGGTTCATGATCTTACTTTCCTCAGGTTTGCCCTCCAGGGATCGCAGTATAGGCTCAAGGTGGTAGGCACATAAATCCTGGTAAAGTCTACAAGACAGAAGTACATGGTCCATTCCTTCAGTCTCCTTTAGCCCACATGGGCATAACCTATCCAAGAACTGTAGTTTTTTAAAATCTCCCATATAGCACAGCTGAGGGCAGCACATAAAAATGGGCCAGTGTGAACACCCTTCTAATGTGGGGATCAATCAAACAAGAGAAATACTCTGCAAGTGGCACGTTAAGAGATCCCCCAATAAATTGGGGAGCAGTGCCCAGTGGCAAGACTATTAAGTTCTTGCATTTCTATATCGATTAGTCTCTGTTTAATCATTCCACAAGCCTGTTTCTCCGAAAGGGTCAAATCATCCATGTTGAGCCCCATGAGAGTAATTTTCCCTTCAGCACATGTCAACCAATCTGATAGGGGGGATCCATGCAGCATATACGCGATGAGACTGTTAGACCCACTTCTATAGAGAAGTCACAGCCAAAATTTAAACGTCGAGAGCCACGCTTTGGTGACTAAACGTCTCTGGTTTGTCTCAAAGCATACTGCCACGTAAGGTACACAAGTTGGGAGCCCTAGAAATTTTCTAAGAAATTTGGATTGGACTCTTTCAACCGTATCGTTAAAGGCAGAGATCCAGATTGGGGCACCGTAGAGGAGTTTTGCACATATTTTGTGGTTAAATACCTTAAGAACAGCAGGTATAAACTGATTTTCTTTCGTATAGTAAAAGCGGGAGATTGCAAGTATACTGCAATTCACTGATTTTACCACCTCCTTAATGTGGGGTTTAGATCACTAGTTCCCAAAGTGGGAAGGTGCTGGAACAATCCAGGTGGGCGGTCGGGGGGCATTGAATACAAATAAGGGGGTGGTGGGAACATAAAGAAGAGTCCAGAACCTGTCTAAAGCAGCCTTTTGGTGGTAGGCCAAATAAGTTTGGGAACCTGTGGTTTAGATAAACCTGATTGTCCAAGAGACAGTCTATTTTTTAAACAGTTTTTAGCAATACTTTGTATGTGGAACTGGACAGATTCGTGATTCCGGTTCCTGGTGGCTAGAGAAGCCCTTAAGATGACTTGATCTGATAACCCTCTGCTGAAGAACCTGAAAAAGTTGTCCCTCTTGTCTGTTGTTTTAAAAAAGGTTTGTCAGATACCTGGTACTTGCTATATTCATTAATTACAAATGTTTTTTCATACCTTTCTGTATGTTTAAAAAGGTCATCGTTTGGAGAAATTTCCTGTCTTTAAAAACCTTCTGGTTATAAGACAGCGTTGGCTTGATTTTAAATATGGTGGTAATTTGTACATAATTCCCCCCCCCTTTCAAAAAATTCTTGGTATCCTTTCTGTCAGTTTCCGCAAAAATGGTCATCAATATATATAATTTATTTCCTGCTCTTACATGGGATCTTTCATCCACATGCCTTGTTTCAGCAATGCTGTAGCAAGCAGTTGTTCCCAGACCACTGGCTGCATCCCTCCATGAGCGTTTCTTTAAAAAGTGCACAACAAAACTAGTTGCTCTTTTAGGGCTTGTACCGTGAACAGAGAGGTTTCTATATGAAATCTGGAACTTTTTTCCAATGAAGAAAGAGGTATTTAGTTGCAGAAGGAGTCAATAATTATAACTTCCTAATTGATGGAAATCCTTTTGTTTTCATTTGTCCTTTTAAGATTATCTTGAAAGAGAGAGAAGAGAAGAAAGGACGCTTGTCTGTTGACCAGAACCTTCTGGGTGCTGATGAAGAACAAGAGGTACCTGTGGACCTGACTGCCAACCCGTCCGAAGATCTAGCATCTCAAGAAGGTCAGAACCATAAAGATGAGCCTGAAATGTGAGAGCCAGTGCAGGGTAGTGGTTAAAAGTGTTCAACTAGTATCTGGAAGACCCAGATCCGAATCCCTACTTGTGCCATGGTAGCTTGCTGGGTGACCTTGGGCCAGTCACACACTCTCAGCCTAACCTGCCTCACAGGGCTATTGTGAGGATAAAATGGAAGAGAGGAGAATGATGTAAGCCGCTTCGGAGAGCCAGTTTGGTGTAGTGGTTAAGTGTGCGGACTCTAATCTGGGAGAACCGGGTTTGATTCCCCACTCCTCCACTTGCACCTGCTGATGTGACCTTGGGTCAGTCACAAGCTCTGGCACAGCTGTTCTTGAAAAGAGCAGTTTCTGTCAAGAGCTCTCTCAGCCCCATCTACCTCACAGGGTGTCTGTTGTGGGGAGGGGAAGGGAAAGGAGTTTGTAAGCCGCTCTGAGACTCCCAAGTGAAGGGCGGGGTATAAATCCAATCTCTTCTCTTCTTCTTCTTTGTTTCCCCACTGGGGAGAAAGGCAGGATATACATGAATTAAATAAACAAATAAGCTTGGAGTCAAAATAATGTTCTGGAGAGACATAAGTGTTACATGCTCTTTTTTTTGTAACATTAAACAAGAGTTCAGATGAAATTGCTCTGGGCCTCCATTTGTTTATGAGTATGGAGCTGCGGTGGCTCAAGTGGTTAAGATGCTGAACTGCAGGCTGTGGAAGGTCAGTAGTTCAGCAGTTCGAGACCCAGGTGCCGCATGACGGAGTGAGCTCCCGTCTCTAGTTCCAGCTCCTGCCATCCTAGCAGTTCGAAAGCAAGAAATTGCAAGTAGATAAATAGGTACCACTTCGGTGGGAAGGTAACAGCCTTCCGTGCGCCTTGGTGTTTAGTCATGCTGGCCACATGACCACGGAAACGTCTTCGGACAGCGCTGGCTCTTCGGCTTTGAAACGGAGATGAGCACCGCAACCCTAGAGTCGGATTTGACTGGCTTTCGAGCAAGGGAACCTTTACCTTTACCTTTATGGTAGGGTTGCCAGCCCCCAGGTCCAGGCAGGGGTTTCCCCGGTCCTGGGGGCTACAATCCGCCCCCGGCCAGCTGGCTGCCAGGGGAAGCCCCACCCCCAAGCTGCAGCCACCCCTCCCCCTCCCTGCTAAAAGATTTAAAAGGCTTCAGCTGATCTTGGGGGGGGCATATGGCCCACCAACCAGCTGGAGGGCCCTTTAAATCTTTTAGCAGGAAGGGAGAGGAGTGGCCATGGCTCAGGGGCATCCCCGCCCACCACTGGAATGCCCCCAAATCCCCCCCCAGATCGACAAAGGGACCTGGCAACCCTAGAATATGGATCTGAACTGTTTTTCCCCTCATGCTTTGTAGACCTACAAGGCTTGTGCCTCATTTTCATTGTAAATTGGAAGTGAACAGTGAACCAGAAATAGTCTCCATTTCAAAAAATTTCCCTTTGCTTCCTAGTGTTTGGAAACAGGAATTTTTTGGGGGAGGGGTCCTTTAGCCCTTCTAATATGCTCACCTCTGAATCCCACTTAATGGCTTTTAACAGACAGATGATCATTAGTGGCTGTTGTTGGCAGCAAGGGCCAGTGTTTCCTCAGCGTTTGGAGGCAGCCACCTTCCGGGAGCACACACCTACCAGTGTGCTGAGGCTGGGGGGTGGTGACAGCAGTGGAACCCCCTGGCAGTCTACACAGTACTGCTCCAGACCATCCTGTGGCTTTTGGGAATAGTTTCTTTCTTTTCTTTTTTTAGGGGAGGAGGGAGTTACGGCAGTTGGGTGCAGGCATCAAAGCCTTGTTCAGAGGATTAACCACAAAATGGCCCTCCGGATTCCAGCCTGTGTGTTTAAAAATTGTTTTGAAAGCTGAAGCTAGTTGTTAGTTAATGTAGTTCGAGTTGCAGAATGTTGGCAGGTGTAAATGCTTACCTAACAGAATAGGTGCCCTACTGGATCAAACCAGTGGTCTGTGCAGTCCAGTATCCTGTTCCACAAATGGGACAGCCAGTTGTCCAAGAAGGCCAACAAACCAAGCATTGAGGCCAAGGCCTTTCTCTGATTGCTTGTAGAACTGGTATTCAGAAGCTGGTTGCCTTGGGATGTGGAGGTGCCCTTTAGTCATTACGGCTAAAGGGATGGACCTCTTCCTTATCAGTCTGCCTTAATCCCTTTTAATCTCCACCTTCTCAAATCTCAGGTATGGCACTGGTTGGCAAAGAGTTAGATCCATCCACTCCTAGGGTTGAATAATTACAGTGGTTGTCAAAGGAATGAGGAATAGAGATGCTTTGGGAAATGCAGCGGGTTAAACACAGATTTTGATTATTCAGATAAGCCTTGTAGATGGTGAGAATCCTTTAAGAAAATTGAAGCTGGACTTTGTTAATTTTAGTGAATACTCTGTGTGTGTTAGAACTGCGAACTGCCTGGAGAGAAACTGACCTGTCCCCTATATAGAGGCAATGGGATTTTATTTGCCAGGTGATATTGTTACTTTCCTGCCAAGAAAAGCTTCAGCTCTCCATTTCCACACATAAAACCTCTATTAAAAAGGAGAGTTTTCTCCAGATCTGTTGGCCACTGTGGTTTTTGTGTAAAATACATAAAGGGAAAATACCCAGTGATGTTCCGGTGACCTGAAAAGTGTGTTTCTGTAATATAACAGTTGTTTGTGATGTTTTTCCCTCTATTGCAGAAACTGGCTTGAGTATGCCCAGTGACGCCTCGCTCTCCCCAGCAAGCCAGAACTCTCCCTATTGCATGACTCCAGTTTCCCAAGGATCTCCTGCCAGTTCAGGGATAGGGAGTCCAATGGCATCTTCAACCATAACCAAAATTCACAGCAAGAGATTCAGAGAGTAAGAACATCTTTCGTTTTTTGTAAATGCATATACTTTGCGGGATATGGTTCCGTTAAATGTTTTTAACCAGGTTTAATTGCACCAAAAAAATGAAGTTTGGGCCATCCGTGATGGTAGGGAGGGGTTACACACACCCCAGTGCTACATATCAGCTCTGTCAGTGCTGAGCGTAGCATGCCACAGAAGGGAGAGTAGGTTCATTTTTATTAAGGTCCCTGCAGAACAATTATCCCTTCCCTCCCTCACTCACTCACTGTGTGCCTCACTTACATCACAATGTTTGTTGTAAGGATAGATTAGATGAAAGAATCACCAAGTATACTCTTTGGAGGAAGATGGGGAGTGGGGAATGTGGTATAGTAATATTTCTTTACAAAAAACAGCATTACAGGAACTATCAATGTACCACATGCTATAAGAGAGCACAAATAAGGTCACAGGCCAGTCTGACCAATTGGGAAACTTGCTTTCTGTTGTGGCCAATGTTCCCTCTAAGCTGTGGGGTCTTGTGAGCAAAAATTCTACTTTGTGAGCTTCTGGCATTAAAGTGGTGAGTGAGCAATTTGGCTACTCCATAAATTAGTTTGCTCTGGAGCCCTCCTTTCTGAGTTAAGACAAAAATGTGTGAGCTGGAGGCTAAAAAACTGTGAGCTAGCTCACACTAACTCAGCTTAGAGGAAACACTGGTTGTGGCATATTTTCTGCTTCTGTGAAGTGTGTGTGCCTGTGCTTGATGCATTCTAGAACATGTCGCTTTATTTCAGGGATGCTAGCCTGATGCTACCACAACATCAGGCAAACATCTGGTGTTCTCATCTTTTTTTGGTGGAGGTGGGAGGGAGGAATTGGCTTGAATGTCTTTTCATTTCTCTAGGAGGCGCTGAGCACTTGCTTCCCAGTTACTCGGCTAGTTAACATACCATAATTTATAGTGGCTATTCAGTACACTTAAAGTGCCAGAGCACTTTAATATGAGCTTTTCATTTTCTTACAGAGTAAAGGTGCCAAGGTACCTTCAGAATATTAAGGCCCCCCCCCAAAAAAAAAAAAACCCCAACTCCTGTACAGAAGTTAGTAAGAGCCCTTGAGCTTGGTTGCAGTGTGCTTTACTGTGTGCTTTCTCCAAATGGACAGGTACTGTAATCAAGTCCTAAGTAAAGAAATAGATGAGTGTGTGACTCTCCTGTTGCAAGAGCTTGTCAGCTTCCAAGAACACATTTACCAAAAAGACCCCATGAGAGCAAAGGCAAAGAGGAGGCTTGTGATGGGTCTGCGAGAGGTGACTAAACATATGAAGCTCAACAAGATCAAGTGTGTCATCATTTCTCCCAACTGTGAAAAAATCCAATCAAAAGGTATTAAATTTGCAGCATGACCCTTGTCACATGTGCCCTGATGAGGATGTGTCTAGTTGGGTTAGGTAGCAATCTTGATCCTGTCCTTGTATCAAACAGCATACAAGGACATGTGTGTAGAATGCTGTGTGCTGTGAGAACCTTGATCTGGTGATAACAAATTGGTTCATTTATAGTTTTAAAAAATTATATTCACTCCTTTTCTGATTGCTTGTGTAATACATTTTTAAAATCACAAAATAATCCAGCCCCCCTCCAAATGAGGTTCCACTATGAAACACTTATTGCAGTTAATAATCGAAACGAGAACTTATGCAGAGGGTACCCTCCACTTCCATAGAACAACTGGCTTACTCAAAAGCTGCTTAAAACAAAATAGTCTTGCAAACTCCCATAATGCAGAAAGTGAAGTGAGTTCCCTCACCTCCCAGCAAAGCATTCCAGAGAGAGGGAGCTACCAGTGAAAGTTAAAATAACTGGTTTGTAATTTTGTTTTATGCACACAGCATCTTAAAACCAGCAGAGTATTTTTTTTAATTTCCTGTTCCTGTGCTAACTGGACATTTAGATGGTTTGTTTGAATTATGGATTTTGATTCTGTTTTGTATGGGGGATGCCTCCTAGGCAATTTAATCCATTATACATCAAGAAATCTGGGTTTGTTACAGAGGGTACACTTGATATGGATCCGAATCTGATCCCAGCTTCCTAATAACATGGATTTTAAGACATGTGTGTTTACTTTTTTAAAAAAGGTGTTAAAAGGCATAATCTGTGAAGAGCTTCCTAGTTGGTACTGTATTGTATGGACTACATACACACAATTTCTGTTCTGTTACGTAAGAAATGATTAGTTTGACTTGTGTAATTTGAGGGAAAATTTAAAATTTAGCAAACTTTGGTTAGCTGTGAGTGTTTCAAGCTTCGTCTCCTTCCCTTCTTTTCTTTGGCATGCACCCAGGTGGACTGGATGAAGCCCTGTATAATGTAATAGCTATGGCTCGGGAGCAGGAAATCCCTTTTGTCTTTGCTCTTGGGCGTAAAGCTCTCGGCCGCTGTGTGAACAAGCTAGTTCCAGTGAGTGTGGTGGGAATCTTCAATTACACTGGTGCTGAGGTAAGAGCATCCCATGTTAACAATTTTTGGTCTTTCAGAGCTTCGGTACCACTTTTGATCATGTCTGAGAACATGTCCTCCTCTGCTTATCCGTTTAAAGAATTTCTGCCCCACATAAGTTCCCAAAAAGGGGCCCACAGCAGCTTACAACGTGTTTAAAAGCAGTCACACAATAGCAACAGGAGAAACACAGTCCAGCTGAAATAACATTTGATGCTTATAGTCTGTTTTTAAAATGGCTCATCTCACTTACCCCTCTTCAAAAATTTAGCATACACTTCCCCACCCACTCCAGTCTTTGCCTTGCACTACAGTAGATATTCTTTTGAAGTATAGGATTGTATTTTTTTAATTAAAAAAAATTCCAGCTCCTAAAACAGAGATCCAGTATTTGACACTTACTGCTCCAGTTACTAAGCCCAAATAGAACCACTTCCACAGAACAGCTGGCATCCCTGAAGGCTGCTCAGAACAAAACAGTCTTAAAACCTTCCCTAAACTCATGGAAGGAAGTGGCTTGTCTGTCTATGTGACATAGCAGAACGTCACAAGAATGCATCAGTGCCTGTCAAAGCCTCAATAAACAAGGACCAGGAGCTTAAGGGAAGGTTCCTGCACTCAAAGGAGCAGTGGCACGACAATCCAAAATTGCAAGACAAGGCTTTTTACATATATTTTGCAAGAAGGGAATAAGTTTGCAGAGGCAGCTGCCTAATAACAAGTCACCAAAATTATTACCTGTCCTTAAGCACCTGAATATCCACATCCAATATTCAATGGCTATCTCTTTTTTGTTCTAAAAATGGATTAGACCCCAAGATGACTTGGCATACATGGAAAGTGTCCTCTGTGTGTGGAAAAGTGGTTTTACACTTGAGCAAAAAAGTGAGATTCTGTTGAGTCATGTTCTTCAGACATGCAAAACTGCTATAGAGTGATGACTGTTACAGCATTGTGTGAACCAGGGGTGTTGAACTCAGCTGGATCTTCAAGTTCAAGTTCAAAACCTTTATTGGCATAGATCATAATCATACAGTCGCCATTCAGTTCATGGATTTGACACACAGCTTCCTCATTATAAGGCAGTTACAGAACCTGGCAACCGCTTCAATAACCGCTATATTTTGTGAAGCCAATAAACGATACAACCTTCTGTCATCGGATTGCTTGGCATCATTCTTAAGAATATTTTCTAGATAGGCTTCCCGAATGTCATCATACAAACTACAATAGAGGGATACATAGGGCTGGATCTTACATAAATGGGACTTTGTCGGGCCAGGCCATGTTTGTCATAAAATGTAATACCAGGTAGTGGAGATAAAAGGACATAGACAAACACAATTAAAGATGCAGTGCAGCACTGGGCTAATGCCCCCATACTGCCTGGAGTGGGGAGCAAACCCCTTCCCCAGCCTGCTCTCATGGTCAGTACTCTGAGCCTAGGACCCAGGGGGAAACATGAAATGGCTGGGCATTGCAAGCGCCCCCCCGGGTCTATTCAGAGTGGTAGTGGTTCTCCAGGGTCTCAGTTTGAAGTCTTTCTCATAATAAGCCGCAGCCCGGTCCTTTTAACTGGAGGTGCCAGGGATAGACCCAGCTGGCTCCTTAGCTCAATGAACACAAGAGAAAAGCCTCCACCCGGAAGCACAACATTTGCAGCCAAGCCCCCTCCCTCAGCAAACTTTAGTGAATAAAGAACTCTAGCAGACCCACGTGGGCACAGGAGAAGCCAGCGAAGATGAGGGATGTTTGGCAGCTCAGCCGTCTGCTCTCTCTACTCAGAGGCTGGACACACAGAGGCAGGGGAGGGGGGAGAAAAGAGAGCCATGGGACAGATGTTTGACACCCCTGGTGTGAACTTTCAAGCAAGAGCTTATATGAGCTGTGCTAAAAAGCTATTTTCCTTTTGCTCCTGGTTAAGAGTGCGGATTATAATCTGGGAGAACAGGGTTTGAATCCCCACTCCTCCATATGCAGCTGCTGGTGACCTTGGGTCAGTCACGTTCTCTCAGAGCTTCTCTCTCAAGAGTAGTCCTCAAAAGAGATCTCAGCTCCACCTACCTCACAGGGTTGTGGGGAGGGGAAGGAAAGGAGATTGTTAGCCTCTCTGAGTGAAGGGTGGGGTATAAATCCAATCTCTTCTTCTTTGGGTCTAACCCAATATAATTGAATGCTAGTTACAAGAGTCAGTAACGTTAATTTTCATTTAAATCTAAATAATGTTTAGATGTTTGACACCCCTGGAGTTCTCTGCAATTCTCTCACATGACAAGTGTTAATGTATATGATGGCAATTTATTTAACAAGAAGGACTCTTCATCTAACCGTGTGCAAGGATTCTGCTTCCCAAGTTTCACTGGTCAAATTCAGATTAAAATAAGTTCCTTTGCTTTCATTCTATCACTGTTTTAATCACTTGAGTGGTGCAGAACTGGAATGAATTTTGCTCATTCAGTATTATTCAGTTCTTCATCCCTAAAAATCATACACAGAGTTGTTCTACGCTCTTTGCATCTTCTGCCGTGCTGTCCTTCTTCAGTGTGCTGTTCCTCCCCTGAGCTCAGTTCATGATCCTTGTGGATCTCTGTCTATCAGAATGGGCTGCTGCCATTGCTATTATCTTCTCACAGTCTATTGTGATGTAGTATTTTGTTGCAGGATGGGAAAAGGGGGTCAAGGGCAAGTGAGTTATCTCAAATTTCGTGGCCCCTTGGCCCCTTAACACATAGTCAGGATTTGAAGTACGTTTTGAGTAATTCTTAATCACATCATGGATCTCTTTGTCTTCTAGAACCTCTTCAACAAATTAGTGTCACTAACGGAAGAGGCCAGGCAGGCCTACCGAGACATGGTTGCAGCCATGGAGCAAGAGCAGGAGGAGGCCTTGAAGAACATTAAGAAAGTGCCCCACCACATGGGCCATTCTCGGAACCCTTCCGCAGCAAGCGCCATTTCGTTCTGCAGTGTTATTTCTGAGCCCATCTCAGAAGTGAATGAAAAGGAGTATGGTGAGCATATTTCTTCACGGAAGTTGTTTTCTTCCTCCCCATGCCATGTAATTCAGTTCAGACAGCTGTCTCATATGCTATGTAACCTCTCTGTCTGATCACGGAAGGAAGTGATGTGGTTCAGGGCCAGTGTTGAGGGTTGGCATCTTTGGTCTCCTGCCCATGCCGCAGGAGGGGACTCCACTGACTCCTGGAGCTGCTGCTGCTGCTGCTTCTCACTACCTGCTTGCAGGGCCCTTTTTGAAAGAACGAGCAGCCGGGAGAAGGAGAGCCACTATTGCCAGACTCTTAAGTCTGCATTTAATTGATTGAGGTGTGGAATGTGAGAGGTAGCAAGGGGGGGGGGGAGTACACTGTAGGCAGCTTGCTCAAGCCCACCCCCCAGGTTTGTGTGTGTGTTTGAGAACCTCTTTTAAAATTACATTCATTCTGAACGTCACCTTCTCAAATTTTGATCCTGGCAGAAACCAATTGGAGGAACATGGTGGAAACATCTGATGGCTTAGAAACCTCTGAGAATGAAAGAGAGGCCTGTTGTAAGGTCACTGCTCCAGAAAAACCTGGCAACCCTGCGGTGGTGGTGGCAGAGGCAGAGGCAAATTCCACCATGGCAACAACTGCTAATAAACAGCTCTCTCTAGCCACAGTCGGGATTGCCTCAGTCATGATTCATGGGAAAGGACTGGGTGGGAAAGAGGAGGTGAAGCCAGACGATCTGGAATGGGCCTCTCAGCAGAGCACAGACACGGGGTCCTTGGACGGCAGTTGCAGGGATATTTTGAACTCCTCTATGACCAGTACAACCAGTACTCTTGTCCCAGGAATGCTTGAGGAAGAAGAGGATGAGGAAGAGGAGGACGAAGATGACTATGCTCATGAACCTATATCTGAGGAAGTCCAGCTCAACAGCAGAATTGAATCTTGGGTCTCTGAGACCCAACGGACTATGGAAACACTCCAGCTTGGGAAGAGCCTCAGTAGTGCAGAGGATGATAATGTCGAGCAAAGTGAGGAGGAAGAACTAGAAACCCCCGAGCAAGTCGACTCGGTCATCGACAGTGAAGAATGGACGACGGATAAACAGACGTGTAAATCCCAGCAGAAGCCTGCCACCTGCGGGTCTTTGGATACCAAGCGTACTGACTCTAACTATATACCATAAAACACAAGCACAAACTCAGGAAACTAATATTTTAAAAATTTAACTGTTGTAAGGATTTGCAGCCATGGCTTTGCGTGCTTCATCTCAGCGTTTTGCACTGTGTCATGTATAATATGCATATTTAATTCACAACATAAGTATTTTTTTGTAGCTGTCTTTACTACTTTTTCCATTATGAACCTACAGTGTATGTGTGTTCAAGGAATATCTCTGTCTCCCAGAAAGGAGGATGTGTGTGGGAACTGTCAATAGGTAAACCATTTAGCTATGTTTTTTGTGTTCAAGAATACTACTTTACAAATTACCGTTATGCAAAATTCTCAGACTATTAACTTAAGCCTGGCAACAGTGACCGATATTCGCTTTGTCATTTATATCATATCTTGGAAGTGTTTTGCCCTATATCATAATGTACCAGAACAGAACAAACTTGTTGGCAGGCAGGGATAAGTATGTCTGTTAGCAGACTGATCTTGCTTACAGAACAGTTAGAAAAATGACTAGCTGATGTGCTTCTACATCATTACAGGGTTTTCCACTGGCCTCTGAGAATATTTATGTGCTTGAGAAGTAACACTCTTGAGATGTTGTTTGTAACCTGCTTAAAGCCCATTTGGTAAGGCATTCTGGGAAAGATATTGACTACTTTTAATATTGTCACTCTGTCAGCAAGGACCACAGTGAGGGGACCCAATCACCACAGCAACTTTAGGGAGATTTTTTTCTTCATTCAGCCAATATCTGTTCTTTACTTACCTCAGGAATGTGAATGCATTTTCATAAATGGTATGTAAATATGAAAACAAAGTTGAAGAATTGGATCCTGACTCTTCAGCAGACAGTGAAGTAGATGCGGTGGCTAAGTTTAGAAGTGGGGAAAAGAAGAATTGGGGGGGGGCAGTTGTGTGTTAGCATGATCAGGCCTGACCATGTCTTGCTTTGGGATCATCTGTAAGAATTTTTTGGTTCTTAAGAGTGTGGACTCTTCCATTCTGTTGCATTGCACACTCCAAAGAAACAGATTTTCAAAATGTTAAGAGGTAGAAGTGATTCAGTGAGGGGGGGGGTGTCTTCATTAATTTAAGGGGAAGACACTTCAGGCTTCTTTATGCTGCTCTTAATATTAACGTACTGAGAATGGAAGATCTAGTTTCTGCATGCTTTGAGTTTTCCAGCTTGGCTCTGTAATAAGCATCAATGCAAGTACCCCTGGTAAGCTGCATGAACTTTAATATGGTGAATGTGGGGTTGTTGTTTTTTTATTCATTAGTAGTGCAAAACCACACACTTTATAAAGTTTGGAACTTCCAGTAAGAAAAAAAAATCACACTTAGTCCTCCTGTTCACCTAACTATTTGGGACCAAACGTTTTAAGCATTTCCAAAACTAGCTTTTTATATTGTACAGGGGGGGAAATCAGACACAGTGTCTTATAGAGCTTGATACCATCACAAAATGTGGGGAAATGTAGCAGAAAAAACCCCAAGTGTGTTAAATAGTTCTTGGGCACACGCTGAGCAGGAAGAAGTCTTGAGTTTTGAAATGACTGTGTACATCCTGTTGCTCTGTCTGGGCGTTTACAAATTAGTCTCTTCCCCCCGCTCACTGCCTTTTTGGAAGCTAATAACTCAAACACCTGTTACTTAATTTGGTACTTTTAAAATACAATCTGAACCTAGATTGTGTTAAGATGCTCAGCAGTTACATAAAGGAAAGAATAGTACAGCCAGCTTGTTGGTTATTGACTAATAAAAGGTTCCAAGGTCTGTAAGAGAAGTCTGTTACTACACAGTTTGTTACTTGGAACCCTCATTCCCACCCCAAGTTGCAGCAAATCTCTTTGGGGTAAACAGGACATTAGTCAACGAAGCTATCCTCCATTCTGGTAAGTAGCCACAGCTCACCAGTTGGGAATAAATGAGATTTCATGCATGTATGTGCGGAGAATGTTTGTTTATATTCCATATTAAGAAACATTTTCCAGTTTTGTGCAGTGAGGGGTGTGTGTGTACGTATATGTATTGTCTCCTCTAATAGTGTCTAAGTTCCATTTCTTTTGTTATCTTAAATGCCAAGGTAGTTTTGTGTGTTATGTAGTACAATTTCTATACTGGCACAGACAGTTAAGTTCTTCCACACTGAAAGAAGGCTGTTTCTGCTGTCGTTAACTGGGTACAATTTTTAGGACAAGTTCAGCAAATATTTATTCTTAAATACCCTGTTTAGTGAACTTTATTAGAGGTAATGTTGGAAGTAGGGGGCTGTGGGAGAAAGATGGGACAACACGTTAGGTGATCATTAAAATTAATTGCTTGAGGTGAGTGGTTAGGAAAGTATTTATAAATCTCTTGTATTTTGTATAATTTTTTCCATGGAAAGCAGAAACACAAAGTAGGCCTGAAGCACAAAGGCTTTGGATAGTCAGACAAGAGAGTGGCATCTATAGGCTTTTACAAAATTACAGTGTGACTTCAAGATGGCCAATGAACCCTGTGGAATCTGTTTCCCCTCCCCTGTTATAAATTTTAGTGTATTTAACAGATTGAAAGCTTGGATCAGTGATTTGTTGTATTTGACCACTGTTTTTAAAAAGGAAAAAAGAAGATATCCTTTGGCTTAATGCCCTTGTATGAATTCTGAACACGACACACGGGAGAAAACTTGGGATGTTCTTTGGGAGGATGTATGTACACAGTGTTTTTGAGTCCAGTTTTTAACTGGACAGTTGTTAAATTTTAGTAGCATGTGGGCAAAAAGTATTGTTTGGAGAAGCTGCTGTTTGCTGAAATTGTCACAGTGTTTTGGAGTTTTTTTTAATTTTTGAAGTTGTGCCAACTAATCAAGATATTTAAGTCAATTTACCAGATTTTAATCACTAATTCAATATATAGCTTTTTAAAAAGTAACAGCCATACATGGAAATTGTACAGCTTTCTACCCAGTCCTAGCACACAGAAATAGTAAGAAAATGGCTACTTAAATCAATTAACAATTTAAAGAAAAGTTCAATGGAACTGGCACAGCCCAATTAATGTTCATATGTGGTTAGTGTATCATTTTTAAGAAGAGACTGTAATAAAGTAATGTCTGTTAATCTTTGATACCTTTATGTTTGTAGTAACAAAACTTAAATTTAAAATAGAAAATCATTATGAATTGTACCATAAAGAGATTGCCTGTCTCCCTTTACTTTTATGAAGGATAATTGTTCGATCATACCTTTTTTTGAGTAATAACAGCTTTTTGCACTATGTAAATACTAGTGGGGGGGTTCTTCCATAATGAATAAAAAAAACTATTTAAGAAAAATAGTGTGGTGGTGCTTTGTCCATCTGGTTAGATTCAGTATTGTGGTGGACTTATAGGGGAACCTCCAGGCAGCTTTTTAAATTGTCAGAAATTCCACGTGGGCCGAATGCACCCTATAGTGCAGGGGTGGCAAAACTTGCTTAACGTAAGAGCCACAGAGAATAAACATTGGATGTTTGAGAGCCACAAGACATGAACAAATATTACACATGTTTTTATGGGAAAATATGCAAAGTTGCTTTTTATTAACAATAAATGAGACTGCCAAAAATAAAAACCAAAGGGGTAAAAACAGATATTGATAATTATTTGTCCAATGATATTTGTTTGCTAATGATATTTATATTTATTTGTCTAAGAGAGAAAGAGGTGGAAAGAAGAATTAAAGAGGTAGAAAGAAAGAAACAACATAAATAGATGGAGGAGGGAGGGAGGCAGAAGAAAGAAAAAGCAAATAGATGGGGAGGAAGGAATTGAAAGAGAGAAAAAGCAAATAGATGGGAAGGAAGGGGAAAAGAGAAAAAGCAAATAGATGGGGGAGGAAGAGAAAGAAAGAAACAAAACAAATAGATGGGGAGAGTGGGGGAGGAAGGATGGAAGGGAGGTGGAAAGAAGAGAGAAACAGAAATATGTGAAAAGGAAGAAGCAGAAAGAAAGCAAATAAATGGGGAGGGACTGAGGAAGAGAGAAGTGGAAAGAAAGCAATTTTAAATGTGTTCTACACCCCCCCCCCCCCATGCCAGCCAGCTGGGAGAAGAGAGAGACAGATGCCTTCTCCAAGCCAGCAGGTGGAGCTGTGCGGCAGGGGCTTGGAGAATGCCTTTATATTTAAATGTGTTCTCCAAGCCCCCACTACCATGCCGGCTTGGAGAAGGGATTTAAAGAGACAAATACCTTCTCCAAGCCAAGACAGCTGGTCGGTGTGGCAGTGGGTCAGGGCCTGGAGAACACACTTAAAGTTAGATGGGGATGGAGGAGAGAAAGATAAGAAAAAATCAAATAGATGGGAGGGAGAGGTGAAAAGAACGCAGCTTTAACTTTAAATGCGTCCTCCAAGCCCCCCCCCCTTGACTAGTTTGGTTTGGAGAAAGGATTTAAAGAGAAATGCCTTCTCCAAGGCAGCGGCTTTGAGAACACATTTAAAGTTGGTTGCTTTCTCTGTTCCCCCCAACTGAAGCCTACTCAGGGAGGAGAGCACTGGCTGGGGAAGGGAAGACTGATTGGGGAGGCATGCCTCCTCTTCACTTCCCCAGCTGCCCTGCAGGGAGCTGCACAGTATGTGTGAAAGAGCCACATGCGGCTCCTGAGTCGCAGTTTGGCCACCCCTGCTATAGTGCTTTTGCATCTACTGGTGTTCATCATCGACTTGTGCAGTCCCAAGTGGGGACTGTGCATGTTGGAGAGGTTCTTACAGATAAAAGCCTCCAGGGTTGCTGCACGCCAGAGCCAGGAATGTGTTCCTGCCCAGGGACCATGTGCTCCACACAGCAGCACACCCACCCTCAGTTCCTCTTTGGCTGCTGAAGGAGAAGGTTGTCTTTTTGGAGTCTCCAGTCTTTCACATTGGTAAGGAATTGCTTCCCCAGTTTGCTGGGGTTGTTCTGAGTTTGTACCTTGGCTCAGAAAGCCCTTTTCAAAAAAATGCACCCTTTGTGGGGTGAAGATGACCCAAACCAGCAAACATGACCTATGTCTGTTTTGTTTGGCTGAAGGGCACAACATCCCCACATGTAAGGCCTGCCAACACTTCACCCCCAAAGTTCGAGGGGATAGGGCATCAAAACTCAAAGTTCGGGGGGATAGGGCATCAAAACTCAAAGCATTGGAGCCCCTCATCCAAGTTGGTCGTGGAAATATTGTCCATTGCTGCATCCGCGGAATTGACGCAGGCAGCTCCACCTCCTGGATTCAGGTCACAATTGGTCCAGTCTGGGTCATGTTCCTCTTTGGCTCATTGCCCCCCATTCAAGCTACCAGCTGTGAGGGTGAAGACCAAGTCCAAGGATAAGGACAAATTCAAATTGCGTCTCAACAACACGCTCCTGTCCACATTCCTGAGCCTACTCCAACTCTTCAGGAGAATCCTAGGACTCTGTCCCTGGGTCCAAGATTCCCTCTAGTTTCAATCTCTGATGGGGACGTAGAAGCAGGCTTACCAGTGAATCAAGTCCCACGTGACTCTGAACTAGAGCAAATGACAATAGTTCCATGGTCTCAACCGTCTATGGGTTGGTCGTTGCACCCGTACATGATGTCTCCAGGTTATCTGGAAGACTGGAGTGACAACTCTGCTCATTCCAGGGATGCAAATTTATATTCCTACTCTCATCAGGTTTCCTCATATTCGCCTTCAGCGACGGTTTCATGTAGGTCTTGCTCTCCTGTACCTGCTGTGAGGGGAGAGGATGCTGCTATCAAATCGAATGGATCCGACACTACGTTGAACCAAGTACAGACTAGAAGGTGGGCGAGCCCTCCCCAGTCTCTCCCACGGAAGACCTCCATACGTATGGGGAACAGATGATCTGTATGGCCCAGTCCCTTGAAACAGAAATCGTTACTTCCAAACACAGACCAAAGGACAAGATACTGAATCCCCTTTATTCAGAGTCCCTGGACACTAGTGTGTTCCTGGTGTTAGAAGGGCTTTGAGGACCTCACACAGGAACTGTGGTAAAAGCCTACATCTAGAAGAGTGGAACATTTTCACAGAATCAAGGAGCAGGCCCGTAGCTACAGTGGGGCATTTTGAGGAATCCCCCAGCCCCCCAACTCTCTGGGCCACCTGGGGGACTCCCCACAGCCACCCCTTCCCCAAGCGCAGCTTGCTTCCCTGCGTAGGCAAGCAAACTACAAACGCTGCAAAAGTGAGTTTTAATTTTTTTATTTTATTTTTTATTTTGTGATGTCAGTTCCCCCCGACTTATTTAAAGCCACCCCCCCCCCATTATAAAATCCTGGCTACAGCCCTGAGAAGGAGCCTTTTAACTGTTTAACATCTCATTCTCCACCATCTTCTCTGGTGACAGAGGAAATGTAACCTAAAAGCCATCAGGCTTACCACTCCACTCCCACAGATAGAAAAGAAAGCTTGATGTCCTTGGACAGAAATTATATTCTTCTGCACTTGGTTTTCTATCAGCTTTTCTTGTGGGAGAGGCTTTTGCTGTTCCTGGAGCTTTTGCCTGAGGACAAGCAACCTCTTGCTAAGGTCCTGCATACTGAGGCCATCAAACTCCCCAAGCAGCAGATTAATGCAGGTCGGCATTCTGCGGATTCTGCAGCACACACCGTGGTGAGTTCTATCATACTCAGACGCCACACTTGATTATGGTCAACTGTGTTGCCTGCAGAGACTAAGTACAAGATTGAGGACTTAACTTTCAAGGGTTCAACGCTTTTCTTTACTAGGACTGACAAGACGCTGTTCCTGATAAAGCAGCTAAGTCATTGAGGTGACACAACTGGGCCCGTCCCAATTCAAGCAGAGGCCATTTGTATGGCAGCCCTGGCACCCTTACCAGAGGGACTACTGCTATGCTAACCCTTTGGGGTCCCAGTATTCTACCTCTAAGATGTTTACCCCACAACAGGGTTATCAGAGGCATAAGCATTTCAGCCAACCTTGGTTGACCCAACAACTGCTCCCTCCTAGAGAGGTAGCCCCATCCCAAAAATCTTCCTTCTGATTAGGAGTGGTCATCTCTGCTAAGTCTGGAGACAGGCTAGCTCAGTTTTATGCTGCCTAGGAGGTGATTACTTCCAATGAGTGGGTTTTATCCATAGTTAGATTAGGTTATAGATTAGAATTTGAGTTGGTTCCTCCATGTTCCTTGCCCCTGGGAGTATGTAGCCAGGCAGCACTGGGTCTGTCTCAGGCTTTACTCACTCTAATTGACAAGGGTGTGATTGAGGAGGTGTCTGAGTCCCGGGCACCTGAGGGGTTTTTTCTCCTGGATGTTTCTGGCCAATTTAGACACATTTTGGACCTCGGAAGCTTGAATGTTTTTCTTTCAATTCCTACAATTTTACAGTTATTATACTTCAACTGTTGATTTATTGTCATTGACTTGAAAGATGCTTACTTTCACGTTTCCATCCATCTTCAACACCGCAAATTCCTATGCCTTTCTTGTGGGATGCGAGTGTTCCAGTGTACTGTTTTGCCTTTTGGTTTGGCCACAGCACCCAGGGAATTTTCGAAGTGTTTAGCCCCAGTGATTGCCTATCTTCATTTGCAAGGTTGCCATATATTCCCTTACTTGGATGATTGGCTGCTGGTGGTGGACTCCAAAGACCAATCATTGAGGCATTGCTCCCTAGTTTTGGTGACCTGCTAATGACTGACTCACTGTGAATTGGGAGAAGTCCCATTTAGTCCTGTTCCAGAGGGTACAATTTATAGGGGCCACATTGGATTCCATAGCGGGAAAGGGTTTCTCCCCCCCCCCCCAACAGTGCAAACCATTGCTGTTTTAGTTAGTTTAGACTGAACCGGTTCCAATCGGGTTGGAAAACCCTTTGCCTTTTGGCGGGGGGGTATACAGCTTCAGTGATGGCAGTTTTTTAATTACATCTTTATTAGTACTTCGGACAAAAACAAAACATAACATAACATACGTAAACACAAATTTGAATTCCAAGGTATAATACACATCTTTGCTATAAACAATAGTGCCTTCACATCCAATTATAGATATATCTAGTGAATT